TCTCCAGCCAAGGAGACTCCATAACCTCTCTAGGCAGCCTGTTCCAGGGCTCTGTCACTCTCACAGGAAAGAAGTTTTTTTCTCATGTTTATGTGGAACGTCCTATGTTCCAGTTTGCACCCACTGCCCCATGTCCTATCACTCGACATCACTGAAAAAAACCTGGCTCTGTCCTCCAGACACTCGCCCTTAACATATTTGTAAACATTGATGAGGTCACCCCTCAGTCTCCTCCAAGCTAGAGAGACCCAGCTCCCTCAGCCTTTCTTCATAAGGGAGATGTTCCACTCCCTTAATCATCTTTGTGGCTCTGCGCTGGACTCTTCCAAGCAGTTCCCTGTCCTTCTTGAACTGAGGGGGCCAGAACTGGACACAATATTCCAGATGTGGCCTCATCAAGGCAGAATAGAGGGGGAGGAGAATCTCCCTTGACCTAGAATAGTCTTTCCAGTTCAGGATCTGCCCTGTATTTGTCTAAAACCCCCAAGAGATTCCCAACCCTGGGAAGAGGTACTTAGTTTGGAACAGCCTTTAAAAACCAAACTAAACCACACTTTTCCCATCAGCCCACAATCAACAAGTTAAAAGAGGACTGTTTAACAGGTTTCTGACCCAAACTGGAATTTCCTGAGTTGAGATACACTCAGGATCACTACAGTCACATAGAAAAGAGGTATCAAGGCACGTAACAGAAGGAAAAAAAATTAAGAAGATAAAAAATACCAACAACATGTAAGTAGCAAAGCCCTCTTTGTATATTTAATATTTAATCTGACCTTGTCCTAAATATTGATTTACATATTATGGGGATGAAAACTCACTACTTCTGCAAAACTTGAGAAAAAGCAGACATTAAAAAGTATGGCAGCAAAAGAGTGTCTTAAAAGAGACAGATGGGGAAAACAAGGGATACTATTAGAGCTCCAAAAAAAGGCAAACAAAAAGAACGTGAGGAAAGAAGGAATGATTTTTTATTATAAATGATAGGAAGTTATTTTAAAGACACATTATCCATGAGGTAGTAAGATGACTGGTTACTTCTAATATACATACACTTCTAGTCTGGTTATAATGTTGCTATTTGTGGCAATATCCAGGCTCATCCAGCCACCTTCAGTGGCTTCATCTTAAGTCTCCTATTGGATATACAGGTGAAGTAGTTCAGGAGTTGAAGAGACAACCCACAGGTCAGCTTACCTGACTTTGACATAGTCTGAAAGAAGCCATCTGTAAATAGCTTTTGTGGCATGTGTCATAAACGTCCTTCCTTTAAAACTTGTTTTCTGCAAAAACCATGGCAAAGCCCCACAGTGATCTAAATGGAAACTAAACAGACACACAAATCCAATTAACACATTAACACGACACCAATATAGCATACAATTCACTATGTCACTGGATTAACGTGGAGCAACAAAAATCCAGACACAGAACTTTAAACCTCATTGTTAACTATTCTGTACACTACTGACTGGAAATGCAATCAGAAAGAGTAACACAAGAAACGCTCCATTAATTGCAAAGGTTTTACCCACATAATCTAAGAATTAACTGTTGTGTAACCTACATATCAATTTGGAGGGATAAAATTTACAGGAACCAGGAACACAATAAATGTCAAAGATGCAAACAAGCTAAGAAACGTGATCCCAGTTTGGATGTTGAACATGATGAATTAAAGCATGAAATACTAGAATAAAATTGGCCACACTTCCAGCTTCCCCTACCTCAAGGAAGCATTTTGAAACACAGGCAGAACAAGCATATACCATGAAAACTTTGGATTTCACAGAGACATGGTTATGACTGGTTCGATAATTTACAAATGTCTCTCCTTGTGTCTCAGCCACTAAGCAATATTTAAACAACTGAAGTCTCAGAGAACCTTTTTCATTCAAAACCAATGGAGCAAAAACCCCAACCAATGCTTTTCAGCAGTCTTTCTGTAGAAAACTCATTCCACAAGGTGTTCAAGCTGGCCAGGTTACAAAAAAAGTCAGGACATCGCAGTGAGCTCAGAGGAAAGTTGTAATGTCAAAAGCCACAGAACACCCTTAATGTAAAAAAAGTTGAAGACTAAAACTTTGCCGTCCTGTTACCATGTATATAACACCTATTTTCAGACTCTTCTAATAACCTACAAGTAAACACAGCTCAGACCATGACCTCAGTATTTTTGTTTTTTAGGTGCCACTTACTGACTAATGAGGAGGAGATCGATCTCTGCAGGATCAATCAAATCAATGTAAGGAAGAGCATCCATTCCTTCCAGTCCAGGATGGATTCCACAATCAAGCTGAAATTTTAAAGAAAGTTAAAAGCTTCTAATAGAACATATACTTTTGGTCTAAAACACAGTTACTAGTGACTAGTAACTCTTAGCATCATATAAAAAAAGTATTATTTCCTTAAGTATTTTTTCCAGTGGGAGACTAAACACCTCTCAAGAGATCCCAGTTTCTGCAATGTTCCACCTATGCAAGCCTTCCTTCACACTTCAACAACACATGAACATACAGAACCAGTGTATGCAAGTTATTTCAGCTACCATCCCAGAAGTCTGCTGGAAAAGGGCAAGAGAACACCTGTGTGTTTACAAGTGACTTTTTAACAAAACTGCAGGTAAATATTAGCCTTACATTCCACTGAAACCCAATATGTGCAAATTTCAGAATCTGTGCTTAAGATACATGTTCTCTGTTTGGGATATGGTTTTATTTTACAGGACAGCCTCTGTAATCCCTACTATCACATATGCTTTCTTGTTCCAGAAAGCTACAAAATGTGCCTCTTCTAGCAACTTCGGTGCAGAGGTTGGATTTAACCTGCTACATCTTTTGGTGATCTGAAGACCCGTAATGAGAGGGCATACAAATACATTAATGCAATAATTACCATTATTTTTCTTCCTTTAAACTCCAGGATAATGCATGACCTCCCTACTTCTTGGCCAGCACCACTGCAAAAGGATATCAAAGTCACAACATTAGAACAACCCACAGTATATAGATATAAATATGTATCGCATGCTTTAGTGGGCCTGCTTTTCTGTCTAGAAATAACAAAGCCCTTTTAAGATCAGATATTTAAGGTAAAGGGACAGTTACATTTATCTCAATGGAAATGACACCCCACGTGGTGCAGCAAAAATAAAAGGAAACTGAAGGTTTTATGGTGGTCTCCTCAGGGTTTTATTGCGTGCCTGAGCACCTGGGTCTCAAAGCACCGAGATGTATAACAAGTGGAAAGTTTACTTAAATACTGAATGACTTGGGGCCGAATAAGCTTGAAGCAGCATCTTCAAGTTGCCCACAAGACAGATCCTACCAGAAACGCCTTCTCACTGCATCAGCATCTTGACCAGAGGAAAAACCAAACCACCTCAGAACACGACAAACCCCCCAGCGCCGCCCGAGTGCAAAAGGTGGGAGAGACGGGGGGTTGTTCCGCTCGGACAGCCCCTCAGAGCCGCCCCGGGGCGGGCTGCGGCCCATCCCAGGCCGGGGACACCCCCCGGGCTGCCCGCTCCTTGGGAACCGGGCGGGGGGCGATCCCAGGGCTGGAAGGCCC